TCTTGAGCTCCTGTTGCAGCTTCCCTTGATGGACAGTGATGTGGAAGGGCAAGCCAAAACCCTTCCCTCCTAAAGTTGGTTTTGCTCAGTGTTTTAGCACAGCAGTAGAAAAGCAAGCTAAGACAGAAACCGGTGCTGATGGTGCAGCATTGCTGTGACAGAACTGACCATGTTGTTTTGGAGAGGACTATGGTTGCATCTGGAACGTTAGGCCAGAAAAGCCATTGTGTGTGTGGAGCTTTAGTGGGCTAAGAGCTTGGAAAACAGAAATGTCAATAGGTGCAGATGGGCCTGGCTTGTGAAGTCACAGAGGGAAGCAAAGACTATTGAGACTGTAGGGAAAAGGGACCAGTCAAAAAAACATACCCTGAGCAGAGCTAAAGAAACACACTTTGGCCCTGCAACCAGAACTAAAGAAATGTACCCTGACCCTGATACCAGTGCCAAAGAAACACACTTTGTCCCTGGAATCTGGATCCAAAAGGCTAAAAAGAACCAGAGAAAGAAACACACTATGGCCCTGAAACCAGGGCCAAATCTGACCCTAACTAATCCTGTGCAGAAAACTAACCAATCCCTGAGCAGAGCTCTAGCCAATCTGAGCTCAGCACTAAAATCTGACCAATCCCCTCCCTGGAAGCCCTATATAAACCCTGTGTCTGTTCAGCTTGTGTATGTTCACACTACTAGGCTGTCCTCTGCCGCTCTGATACAGGGCAGCCACTCCTGGATTCTTCCCTCCCAATAAACCCCCTCAATGAGCTTTGGGTGAAGATCTTCTTTTGTGGCAGTGACGACGGAGCAGAGGTGACTCTGGGCAGAGCAGAGCAGAGCGAGCAGGGCTCTAAAACTTCCCGGGAAATCTTCCCTTGGCAGAGCAGACGCTCCCTGCTCTCCAGGAGCAGAGCTGAACTGTAGCAACTTCGCTGGAGAAACCTCCAGCCGAGCAAAACTGCTACACTGGGTGAACATCCCCAGCTGGAAGACCCTGTCCTGCGGGAGCAGAGCCGATACACTGGGGAAGCCTTTCTCTGAGGCTGGGCTGTAAGCAGCCAAGCTTACTGCAACCTGTGGTGGTCCTTGGCTCCTGAGCTCCAGGATACTTTTCCACCTGATCTGTGTAACACTCAATATTCTGTGACCTCCAAATGCCAGAATACCTGACCCACTCCTGTTCCATCCAGATCCAACCTGAAATGCCTACATGTGGTGCTGAAACCCGGGATGCCAACAGAGGCTGCTCAAGTGATACTGTGAATCAAGAATCTGTTGTTTCAGGTCAGCTGAGGCTAAAGAACTGGCTGTGATGAGTAAGATATCAACATCATTGAAGCAAAATTTTCTGGGTTCAACTGTGGCTCAAAGGGGGCCAAGGTAGTACCTCAAGCTTGCAGCCAAATTTGGTTAATGTAAGTGCTCTCATGTGGCACTGGTTTTGAGGGCATGAAGGGGCAATGGAGATATACCAAGGCTCGGCGCTATGTTGAAGAGTTAGAATTACTGCAGAGAGGCCTGGAAGCCATTTGTTCAGGTGTAGTCTCAGCTGCAGGTGGAGACTCCGGGATACTGGAGATGCCGGGGCTGTGGAACTTCTTAAAAGTTCAACTGATTTACACTGTGATATTATTGTGAGATCACAGGAACAAAAAAGACAGAAAAAGTTACACTTTAATAGTGTCAATGGATGCTGACAAGGGATCTGTTGTACCTCTTGGTCCCCACCTTCCCCAACACAAACCAGTCATCTAGGAAGAGGGCTCCTTGGTTGAGGAACTGCCTCCATCAGACTGGCCCATGGTCCATGGTCCAGTCTGTGAGAGGCATTTTCTTGATTGATGATTGAGGTTAAGAACGCAGCTCACTGTGGGTGGTGCCATCCTTGGTAGGGGGGCCTGAGCTGTGAAAGCAACCTGGTCAAGTCATGGGCACAAGGCAGTAAGCAGTGTTCATTCCTCCATGGTCTCTGGCTCAACTCCTGTTCCACCTTCTCTTGATGACAGGCTGTGATTCTGAAGGGTTAGCCAAGCAAACCCCTTCTTCTCCACGGTGGTTTTTGTCAGTGTTTTATCACAACAATAAAAAGGAACCAGGACGGATGGATGAACGGACAGAGGGTGTGAGCAGGTCGAAGCTGAGGCTAAGGAAAATACTGCAAGACCAGACTGATGAATGAGGGCTTCCACATGTCAATGCACAGCTGGTAATGCTTACTTGTTAAGTGTGAAGTGTGTGCTTATAAATATGAAGTCACTTATCCTCTGGAACAAATCTACAATGCAAGCTCTGTTTCGCCCTTCCACAGGTGAGTAACCTTCATCAGGGTCCCTCAGCCAGCAAACAGTGGTGATGGGATTTAAACAGTTACTCTGTCCCTCTTGATGCCTATTTGTCACACATGTGGGGAAGGACAGCGTTTAGTGAAAAATGTCTAAAAGTAGTGATGAGAAAGGCACCTATCCTACTTCAAAGCGTGCTGGTATGGGGTTGAGTGAAAGCAGCTCTCAAAGCAGCTGTAAGTGAAGCTGTGTTCTGTGTGCCGACTAGATCTGAAACTGGGGGTGCTTCTCTCATTTTATACTTAGCCTGTACTGCCTTTTTTTTTCTTTCTAAGACGGGGGTCTCTCTCTCTGTGTAGCCTTGGCTGTCTTGGAACTCACTATGTAGAACAGGCTGTTCTCGAACTCAGAGACCCACCTACCTCTGCCTCCCGAACACTGGGATTAAAGGTGTGCACCACCATCTGGCTATTACCCTTTTCCCAGTCACTGCAGACAGGGCTCCTATAGCTTACTGGTGGACACTATCTGGTTTGTGTGTTCTATTATATATGCTGCTGTCTTTAAATTCTAACTTCATGACAAGTAAGGACATATTTGTGCTATAGGTATCTGCACAGTGCATCTGCCTCTGGCTTCGCTATGGTGGTTAATGGGCAGGCTTACTTTCTGAACCCCTGTGTTCTTGGGATACAGTCTGGTCAGTGATTAGTCTAATATGCAACTAGAATCTGTGCTCTGGAATTCAGGAAGTGAATCTTCACCTTGTGAGCATGGCTTACTGTTCTTTCCTTCTGAAGCAGTCTAGTGAATGAACCTTGTCTCGAGGGGCCTTGGAACAGAGAGGACCCAGACAGCTGGAGGGATGGCCCTGTTGTATGTCTCTCCAGGGCCTGGGTGAGGATTGGGAACCTATTTCTCAACCAGGCTTGACTGCTCTAAGTCAGGTGTCATCACAGCCCATTTCTTCTGCAGGCACTGAGGAACAAATGTTGATTTTCCTGTATCCCTCTTCCAAGGACATCGCTCCAGTGTGCATCCACACCCCACCTTCCCTCCACCATCTGATCAGGATACTTAAAACGACACCTGGGACCCTCCAGGGCAGTCTCCCTAAGTTAGGATTTCTGCAGACTCCTTTGCCATGCAAAGTAACTCAATTCTAAGAATGATGGTCTGGGTATCCTGGAGGCTGAGCAGACCCTAGGGACCTTACAGCTGTCTATACCTCAGCTTCTTCCTCATTTTGTTTTTCGAGACAGGGTTTCACTGTGTAGTGCTGGCTGCCTGGAATTCACTCTGTAGATCAGGCTAGTCTTGAACTCAGAGATCCATCTGCCTCTGCCTCTCCAGTGCTGGGATGAAACATGTGTACCATGCCATGTTTGTATCTCAGCTTCTTTTTATTTTTTTTTGGTTTTACGAGACAGGGTTTCTCTGTATTATTTTGGAGGCTGTGGGTCCAGCCTAGCCTCCAACTCACAGAGATCCGCCTGCCTCTGCCTCCTGAGTGCTGGGATTACAGGTATGTGCCACCCCCTCCCGGCTATCTCAGCTTCTTAAATGTGAACCACATGAGGGCCACCAAAAATCTGACAACAGCAAAAGGATTTTGGACATGCAACAACCAAAAATCCCGAACTCAATGTCTAACAAGTCCAGGGTGTTTCCAGCAGTGCTTGTGCACACTGCAGCCCGGGCTGTGGAAACGTCAGGCACACTTTGTACTAGGGGCGCTGCATGCAGCACACTGGCTCCTATTCAACGCCCCTGTACACATGCATTAGTGGTCCTACTCCACATACTCACACTTTTAGCAGCATGTCATTGAATTACAGAAAACAAAGATGTTCCTGCCATCATTCTTCAGATGCTTCAAAGGCCTCCCACCATTCCCAGTGTTCTCTCTGCCTTCTGAATGAGATGTGAGCTCTTAGCTGTTCCTGCTGCCATGCCTTTTCTCCAAAATCATGGACTCTAATCTCCTGGAACCACACGTCCAATTAAATGCTTTTTTATCCAAGTTGCCTTGGACATGATGTCTTATCACAGCAATAGAAAAGTAACTAAGGCAGAAAATATCAAATTAACTGACTTAGGCTGTGCTGTGTTAGAATACTTGATTTTCTAAACTTCTGAGCTGTTGAATTTCATAGAATAATCAATCATTAAATGAGTTGGGGCCAAAGATGTAGCCCAGTCAGTGGAGTGCTTGCCTATCATGTATGAAACCATGGGTTCAATTCCCAGCACCACATAAACCAAACATAGAGGTACATGCCTGTAACCTAAGCACTTGGAGGCAGAGGATCAGAAGCTTAAGGCCATTCTTGTCTACACTGTGAATTCAAGACCAGCCTGAACTAGAGGCCCTTTCTCACACAGTAAATGCATTTTGGTTTGGAACTAACAGAATTTTCAATAACTTTAAAAATGGATATAAACATTCCCCTGCATTTTATACATGTACCTGTGAAAAGTATTTGTTTTCTGAAACAAGGTCTTGCTATGCATACACACCTGGCCTTCAGTTCAGAGATCCAACTGCCTCTGCTGGGATATCACACCTACCTATGTGAAACAACTCTAAAAACTGATTATAAAATCTAACTACCAATTAACTCTCAAAAATGTTGAAGATGTTTTATGTCTTCCTGCAATATCAAATAGTTCATCAAGATTTAACTCTATATGCAAAACAAACAAGTACATACATGCCGTTAGTACACAGATATCTGCTTTTGTCTTTAATAAATGATAAGGTTATATATACACAAAAGAATTGTTTCAAGCTGATTTTCTGTATCAATTTTTTCAGTATGCATTTGATTTATGTATCTGTTTTATATATCTGAAGGAAAAGGTTGAGTGGGGAAAATGACCCTGTTTAGAGCTGCTGCCCATCAGATCTGCAGACGGCTCAGAGCAGGCCTGACCAGCTCAGTGACAGAACTGGGAAGAGTCATCTGCAAGCATGTGACTTTGATGGACCCTGTCTACACAGAATATCCACAAAAGACGTTAGCTGGCAAGTCCATGGGAATATGTACTGGATTTCAGTAGGATGGCCTTTGGAATGAAAATGAGGCTTGCCCTGGCAGGTCTGTTATGGGGAGCAGGTTCCAGTTGTAGGTGAGCCTAGCTTCCCATCCGCATGGGAACCTGCTGTGCAGACTAACTGGGATCGATGGCCAGGCCAAGTGGATACACATGACAGAGAAGAGTGACAGGCTTCTGCATGATGGGCAGAGCAGGTCAGGAGTGGGGAATGTCCTCTCTAACAAACAGGACAGGATAACTATCTGGCAAGGCTGCATGGGTAGGGAACTGGGCATTCCATCCAATGATTATCTAGGGCTTTTGTCACACTGCCAGCCTCCATTCAGTGACTATGGCTTTAGTTGGGGAGACCTAGGCGCAGACAGACAGGTTATACGCATGGATTCATGTTAAAGCAGAACTAGTTATTAAATCTCACTTCAAAGCTTCAAAGAAAATACATTTTAAGCCAGGCATTGGTGGCACATGCCTTTAATCCCAGCACTCGGGAGGCAGAGACAGGTGGATCTCTGTGAGTTTGAGGCCAGCCTGGTCTACAGAGCGAGTTCCAGGACAGCCTCCAAAACAATACAGAGAAACAAAACAAAAAACAAGCAACAACAACAACAAAAAAAATACATTTTAAAAATGCCCACCCCCAAAAAAATACATTTTAAAAATGCCCACACCATAGTCACCAATGCAGCAGCCCCCACCCCCAAGCCAGCATTGCTCTGAAAAGTGACATTCATTTGGATGACCTTCATTTGGCAGGAGGAAAAAAGGCTGAGCGGAACTGGGAGGTGGCTAGGCCTGTAGGGACTGTGTTCAGGACATCAGTTCAGCCTTCAACCAACGCAGCCTCAGGACCTTATACCCTCTCAAACCCTCCAGACATAGTTCCTTACCAAAATAAGTTAGTGAACATAAGAGACCAGAGAGTTAATGTTGCATGTCACAATCTCTGAGCACTGGTCCATGTTCTTCCTCACCCTGTAGAATTTCTCCACATACTCAGATCGCCCTAAGAGCTCCACGAAATCTTCATCGTGAGTGATTACCAGAAGCTGGAAGTTACGCTGCTGCGAGCGACTTTTTATGATCCTGAAACAATACATTGAGAACACTTTTTTTTTTTTTACTAATGGACATACACTTGGAAAAACCACTGGAAATCTTGTCAGATACAAGGAACAGTTGTGTGGCAACCATGCTTTTCCTGTGACACACGTGACATGAAATGGGGGAGGGCTGGGACCTTCAACCTAGGCAGGTAGGAGTCCTACATCTCCTTCCCATTCAGTGGGATGCCTCATTCCCCACCCATCTGACTAAAAATCAGGTCATAATTTGGACCAGTTCCCCAAGATCCTAAGTTGCTATTCATGCAGAGGAAAAGTCTTCTAGGAAAACCTAATCCATTCAACCACAAGAGCACAGTTTGCTGCTCTGCCCAGACTCTCCTGACCTGTTGCTAGACTTCTCTGAAAGTTTGTAAGAAATTCAGGCAGACAACAGGTAGGGGAATAACACTGCCTTCTGAAGAGCTGGGTCTACTCAGAATTCTGCCACCACCAGTCACTAGATGCATCAGTACTGTGTGACACAGAGGGCCTGAGTGGGTGTACTGGGGACATTTTTGCTCATCTTCAGCATGCTGAGGTATCAGCTATGAGTGAGATGCAACAAGGGTTTTAACTCACACTTGTTTATCACCTGCCTGGGGCTAGATGCACTTAATGTTTCAATACCACAGTCCCCTCTCCCCCTTCCTTGCTGGTCCCCCAGAACTATGAAGAGCTGGCTGGAGGAAGACACTGGTGCTATCAGAGTTCTTCTGGAGCCAGGGGTGTGCAAAAGTGAAATCTGCCCTACCCTGGAGCCTTCTGACATGAGGGAATGGGGTACACAATGACTACACTTAGCCTATGGCATCATCTACCCATTTACCAGTATGCTGTTTCCATAAAAGCTCTCATTCTTCACAGTAACCACGTGACATGTGACAGACAGTCCTAGCTCTACTACTACCAGCTCTGAGTATCTGGCTAGGGCACATACTGACTGCTGTGCTTGACATGGCCAGGGAAGGGAGAAGGGTCACAGGAAATCCAGAGAAAGTCCAGAACTCCTCAACCTTACTTGCCCTATAGACACTTGGGGAGAAGCAGGATACCTATGTCTCAATACTCTAGTTCTTTTTATTTTATGTGCATTGGTGTTTTGTCTACTTGTATGTCTGTGTAAAGGCATCAGATCCTCTGGAACTGGAATTAGAGACAGCTGTAAGCTGCCATGTGGGTGCTGAGAATTAACTCTGGTTCTCTGGAAGAGCAGCCAGTGTTCTTATCCACTGAGCTATTCCTCCAGACCCTCTAGTTCCTTTTCAAGAAAACCTGGAGAATTACTATTGAAAGGCAAAGTGCAAAGCCTGGCCTCAACTCAATTCTTTGTTTTTTTGTGTGTGTGTGTGTGTGTGTGTGTGTGTGTGTGTGTGTGTGTGTGTGTGTGTGTGTGTGTATGTGTTTCTGTTTCAGACAGAGTCTCAATGGCTGGCCTCGAATTCACTATGTGAACAAGGTTGGCCCTAAACTCACACAACATCAGTCTGCCTCTGTCTCCAATTGCTGGGATTAAAGGTATGGACCATCACACCCAGCTCTGCTACTGGTATTAAAAAACAAACAAACAAAACCCATTACAACCTGCTCCAAACTTTAAATACTTACTCAACCAAAGCATGTGCAAGAGATTCAATGTTTTCTCGGTCAAGATTTGTGGTGGGCTCATCCAAGGCAAGGATGCCACAGTTCAGACAGAAGGTTTCCGCCAGTGCCAATCGGATGATGAGAGAGGCTAGTACCTGGAGAAAAGTTGCATAGCAAACTTCAGAAGGGGGTGGTGAAATGAACTGCACATGGTGGTGCACACCTTTGTTCCCAACACTCAGGAGGAAAAAGCAGGTGGATATTGAGATTTAAACCAACCCAAGCTATGCAGTAAAACCCTGTCTCCAAAAACAAAACTGGAGAGTAGAAGGTGGGAAATGTCCCAGGTCACAGATGTTAAGAACAGTTCAATAGAGACTCATGCTTTTCTAGAAGGTGGACTGTATAAGCCACATTCTCTTAGCCTATCATTTGTACTGAATAAAACACGAGAAACAGCCCTGCCAGCATTTCAATTCTATTAAAAATTAACATCGCAGACTAAGGGGTATGCATTACAATTTACCAGTAGAAGTCTAGAATTCACCTGGAACTTATTATGTAGACCAGACTGGCAGCTAACTAAAGAGATCTGCCTGCCTCTGCCTTCTGAGCATTGGGACTAAAAGGTGTGCTATCACACCTCGCCTTAAAACCTTGATCTGGCCTTTATAACTTCTCAATAATGAAACTTGTTGGAAATGAAAACACATTACATTTTTTCCTGAGCCTCACAGGGACTTTACACAACATATTCTCTGGTCCAAAAGAGAAACCAGGTAGTGTGTTCTAGATCACACCAAAGTGTCTGCTTGTGTAATTGTGACAATGAGAGAAAAAAAGTTAACAGGGTATGGCTCTATTTGTATTTACCTCTAGGAGTCCATTAAGTCCATTCATGGCTACTAAAAATCAAACACTAAAACCCTCAGACCTGTCTTCTCAGGGTTGAAGGGACACAGCAAAGACTCAGACTGTTCTGGGCAGGGCAGAATGCTCTTGCATGAGCTCTAATCTCACCATCTGCTAATTGCTGGTTTCTGACCGCAGGGCAGTGCGCACCTTCCCTCCAATGTCCAGGGCAGGCCAGCAGATTGCAGAAGTCTATTGCCCCTTTGGGGGACAGACACTTCCTTCCTGCCTTTGCACCCTACTGCTGCCAATCTACCACCACCCACTTACATGCAGACTGCTGGTTGGCCCACAACCACCAAACCATTCATCTGACACTTCTCCCTACACCAGGAAGCAAATACTGCCAGTTTTCACAACGTAAGAGCAGCTACAGGAAACTGACTTTTGCTCAGAGACCATCTTTCAAACTCATTTATAATGAATATCAGACATCATCAAACAAAGCAATTAGGGATACCGTTTATAGATTACAAATTAGTCATTTCTTCAAAGAGACTATGATTGCAATAGTAATCTTCTGCATTGCCTAAAATTAGTGTTAGCTGTCTGAGGCAATAACTGGGATAATTATGTGAAATAATGTGGCATCCTTTCCTAAGCCTGCAAAATTTTTATGAAAAATATGCTTTAATATGAAAGTTCAGAATCTGCACCCTTGTATATGGTTAACAGAAATCATTCAGGACCTCCCTGTGCTCCAGGATGCAGGGCTCATGTTCCAGTCTTATTGAAACATCATTTCGCATTCTGATTTTCCCCAGTGCTCCAAACCTATCTACTGTCCTCCTCCCGGAGTCTCATGTAGGGCCAGTGGCCTGATCCAGCCATTGGTCTAAGGCTAGCCCAAAGGCGAGGCTGAGGTGCTGATGATGGGATTGAGTGCTGTGCAGGGGCTCTGTCTCAGTGACATAGATCAGAATCCCTTGTTTGCTTCCACTCAGGCTCTAGTTTGCTAGTGCTCTTTGTTCATTTGAGATAGGGTCTGGAGTAGCTCAATCTGACCTCTAACTCACTCTATAACCAAGGATGACTTTGAACTTCTGATTCTCTTGCCTCTACCTCCCTAGTGTTGGGATTATAGACATATTTAGGCAGTGGTTGGGGTCAAGTCAAAGCCTGTTCATGATGGGCAAGCACTCTACCAACTGAGTCATATCTCCCATTGCTAGTATTATTTATGACTGGCAGTATATTCACTATTAATTCTAAGATGTTTCTGCCAGTTTGATACCAGAACGTCTTTGGGGGTCCATAAAGCAGTGACCTCTCTGAGAAGGAGTACTGCTGCAAGTGAAAATGGGCGAGTCACTTTGGCCCTTTTTCTTATGCTATCTTTGAGTGTCACAGGGCATGTGAGCTGGCAGTGGGATGGTGCCATGATGTAGCTGTGTCTGTCTACTTCACAAGGGTAAGGAAGCTAGCTGTAAGGAGCTTCTCCTTCACTTAAGGGGAGTGAGTCTAAGGCCTCCACAACCCTGGGTTCATCTCTGAGCTCTTTAAGTCGGCTCCCTAGATTGCTGAGATACCTGCCTTTTGTCCAGCACTGCATCGTCCCCGCATGTCCAAGGCTGTATCCCCCTTTAGCATCACCACTCGGTAGTTGTAATTCCGTCTTTTGTCAGAAGCCGACACATTTTCATCAGCATCTGATCGAATTTCTATGTATTCAATATCTGATACAGAAAGCAGAATATTTTAGAGAACCCACACTGCACCTCGGTCACTATATAGACATAGTCCAGGAAGTCTGGGGACAACAGCAAGTCTGATGGCTTTGGAAGCACTGGTTGCCTTGCAAACTCTGGCCAGGAGGACTCAGGAGCCATGTGGTCTACCAAGATGCAGCATGGATGGCCCGCCCCCAGCCTGCGCCCAGCTCCTTTTCTAAGAGTTTCCTTTGGGTACTTTTCTTATCACATTTGGGCCTATCCCTATCTGTGCTTTCACAGAAACCATTATGTCATCAGCTCATTGTGTCTGCTACAGACAATATGAGTCCTACAGGGCTTTGAAACAGAAACTTTGCGTTTTCTTTTTGCTATAAGATATTGCAAAGATAAGAATTCTTAGAAAAATCTCAAAGAAATACTCAGGAAGGGGTTTGAGAAGGTAACGCTGGATTGGTAAGGTCACACAGGGGAGGCTGTGGACAGAGTTTTGGAACAAGCATTTGGGACACACTGTATTAACTACCTTGTCCACGATAGGTACTCCGCCAAAGATCACGAATAATTTTGTTGATTTCTTCCATTTTCATACTGTGAAATTTCATTATTGCTCTGGAAAAAGGAAACCACTTTTACTTGGTACAATATGCACTATTTATATGAAAGACATATAATAGCTATGCAATAGTGTATGCTAAATTGTATGAATATGTAATATATGTGATAAAAATTACTGCCCCAATACTTTCTTTCTTTTTACAGTTTGGTGTTGCAGGTCTTTAATCCCAAAACTACACAGTCAAAGAGAGTTAGAGACCTGCCTGCCCTGTGAACAAATTGAGACCCATAAAAACCTGCGACTACACAAATAAATCCTGTCCAAAAATAAAACAAGTAATGCAGAGTTGAGTGTGGCGGTGCACGACTTTGATCCCAGTACTCGGGAGGCAGAAGCAGGCAGATATCCATAAATCTGAGGCCAACCTGACCCACACAGCAAGTTCTCCAAAGCTACACGAGACCCTATCTAGAGGGGCAGCCTCCCTGGTACCTTAGGAGGCCTGCTGTAGGCAGACCTATGTGCTAAAGCTGAGGGCACAGCTAGCCAGGGCCTTGTCAGAGAGCAGAAGCAAGTCTCTGAAATTGTTGTCTGGTCCTCCTATAATTTTTTAATTTTTAATTTTTTTTTGAGACAGGGCCTCTACATAGACCTGGGTCTTGTAGACCAGGCTGGCCCCAAACTCAGAGATCCACCCGCCTCTCCCTCCTGAGTGTTGTGATTAAAAGCATGTGCCACCCCGCCCAGTTCCTTCTAGAATTGCTCAAAACCAGCCCCTCATGTTCTTTTATTCCTCAGATCTGTGAGAATTTTACCTTCCCAAAGGTAGCTTTCCTCAAAAGGATGACTTTTTTTTTTTTTTGGTTTTTTCGAGACAGGGTTTCTCTGTATTGTTTTGGAGGCTGTCCTGGAACTCACTCTGTAGACCAGGCTGGCCTCAAACTCACAGAGATCCGCCTGCCTCTGCCTCCCGAATGCTGGGATTAAAGGTGTGCGCCACCAACGCCTGGCCCAAAAGGATGACTTACTTAGGAGCCTGTCCCTTCACTCAGTCACAAGTCCTATCCTAGTGTGCACTGACCTCCCCAGGCACTCCCTTACTTCCAATTCTCTTTTTCAGCGGCAGTCTCTAGACACTGAACCAAGAAATGTTTGTGAAAGCCAAAGCTGCCTGTTAAAATTGAACGCCATGCCTGTCCTGCTACCTCAGATTTGGAGGCAGGCCCATCAGCTACAGAAGTCGCTGCCTGGTGAGAAGGCTATCACCAGCAAAGGATGTGAGCGGACTCCCTTCCATTGCAAATGTCTTATCTGATATATACAAAAAAAGAAACTAAACGTAATGCCACTGGCCTCTGTACAATCATTTTGTGATCTTCTGATCATCAGCTAAAAGAAAGAAATGACTCAACATAAATACGTCTAACGATCAGATGGAGGGCTGCTGAAGCAGTGAAGCCGGAAGAAACCACTCTGCTTCACCACGTCTCCATTTTCTAATTCCGGCTCATCTCAGCCTAACATTTATGCCTCTTTCATAAAGAGTAGACAAACCAGCTATTATTTTCTTCAAAAAAGAAAACCACAACAAAAATACCACACATAATGTTCCAGGACCAGTCACATGTGAAGACTGCCCTTCCACAGCTTTAAACACCATGGTACTAATTTTATAAATGACTTTTTAAAAGGTTATTTTTTCAAATTGATAACTAACATAAAAAACATGTGAATGGAGAACATACACCAGGAAGGGCAGGAGCGCTGGGAGAAAGCTCCATGACAGAAGGCCAGCCCGCTCAGGGTGTCAGAGAACTGACTCTTGCTACCATTGGCTGGCCCAGCAGCTAAGATCTGATCTCTCGTAGAGTTTACAGCACATTAGGCAACCTCTGGCGATGACAAAGGTCACTGCAGTAGCCCACCTGAAGGAGTAGCACTGACATAAGTGGTTACCACTAAGCCTGGCCTTCTGAAAGACAAGCCACGCTCAAAGTCACACATTATCTCTACAACCTCCAGGTGCCATGCAAGGAAAAACTGAAAAGAGAGCAAGAACTTTTGTTTTGTCTACCATGGCAGAAATGAGCATCCTAAGTAGAACTGAGTTTAGTTGTAAGGGTACTGAATAGAACACACTGCTGCTGGGCAAGGAACCCAGGGCTAAGCACATCCTAGGCAAACACACCATCGCAGTTTACTGAGTGGTATTTATCCCTACAAAGAACAGCACGACAGGAAAAAAGTTGTTCAAGGTAAGTTACTGCATACAACTGCATCCCAGACTAAAGAAAAACAAACTAGGGGCTGGAGAGATATCTGGCTCAGTAGTTAAGAGCACTGGTTGCTCTTCTAGGGGTCCTGAATTCAAGTCCCAGAAACCACATGGTGGCTCACATCCATCTGCACTATGTCTGGTGCTCTATCTGGCCTGCCTGCATCCATGCAGGTAGAACCCTGTATGTGCGCACAATAAACAAACAAATAAATAAATAAGAAAAACAAATAAGTGTTCCAGGGGTGGTGGGTGTTGGTAGTGAGGGGTGGTAGCCGCAATATGTAGTGTCAGTGAGGAGGTCTCAGAAATCTCTGGGTCTTTGGGTAGTAGATCAGTGTTCACCATGGCATACAAATGAACTTTGGGAGCCCATTCCACATGGAGGGATGTTCTCTCAGCCTGGACACATGAGGAAGGGCCTAGGTCTTGCCCTGGATGAAATGACAGACTCTGGAGATCCCCCCCAAGGAGGGCCTCACCTTCCCTGAGGAATGAAGTGGGGATTGGGTTGGAGGTGGGGGGGGTGGAGGTGGGGCTGGTGGAGGGAGAAGGGGGGGAGCAGGGATTGACATTTGAAGCATGCATGTTTCTAATTTAAATAAAAAACAAACACAAAAAAAAATCTCAGCAGGAGGATCTGTGAGTTCAAGGCCAGACTGGTTGGTCTACAGGGTGAGTTGCAAAGCAGCCAGGACTATGTGGAGAAACCCTGTCTTGAAAATCCAAACAAAACAACAGAAAACTTGATGAGTCAGTGGATAGAAAAAGAATATTTGGTGTACTAACACTGAGTTTGGTAAAAATCACATATACATGAAAAATGGGGAAAATGTCTTTTCGTTTACAAAATGTCTCAGTCAGATATCTATAGTAATAACAAACACAATCTAAGACAGACACAAGCATTTTACCCACAATAACCAAAAGGGATACTGCCTAACACAGGGCTCTGAAACAGCAGCTTGGTAAAACATAAGAGAGAAAGGAGGAAATGATAAGCAACAGAAGGGAGTCTGTCATTGTTTCTGCATGTAATGTTTGACTATATACCTAAGCATTCAAGAAAAATCAGCTGAAACATTAAGATTATCAAGTTCCTGACATCAGCCTAGGTATAGTGGTTCAGGCATTTAATCCCAGCACCTGGGAGGCTGAAGTTCATGGCCAGGACAGCCAGGGCCACAAAAGTAGTGAGATCCTGTCTCAAAATAGACCAAAAGTCTTAATTCAGAATCCCAGAAACTCTCATAAAAAGCCAGGAGCAGTGGTTCCTCTCACTGGGGACTGGGGAGATGGGTACAGGAGGACCCCCTCAAGCTCAAGTGATAGACCCCAGAAACCCTCTTCTAAAAAATAAGTCTAGGTTGACCTGGTCTCAAAAAGGGGGGAAAAAAGGAAAAAGATGGTTAGATGATTCCCCTCACCACCACAGATCCTATTAACAAAGGCAATAAAAAGTATAAAATACGTAAGAAGACATTTAAAAATATTCAGCATTAGAGAAAAAGCCATATATTTTTTTCAACAGAACAAAAGGAAATGACTGAACAGGAAAAACCTTCTAAAGGGTTTATGGGACAGAATCCTTGTTGCAAAGACAGATTCTTCCCAAGTGCTCAATAAATAGAAGTAACCAAAGCAAAAAACATGCCGACAGGAATTAAAAAGAGAATTTAATGAAGTCTGTATACAGACTCTAAAATTCTATGAGAAAACACACAAAAATAAAACTGTGGTACTGAGACAGGAAGAAATATTAAAAAGTTTGTGGCCGGGCAGTGATGGCACATGCATTTAATCCCAGCACTCGGGAGGCAGAGGCAGGTGGATCTCTGTGAGTTTGAGACCAGTCTGGTCTTCAAGAGTTAGTTCCAGGACAGCCTCCAAAGCCACAGAGAAACCCTGCCTCGAAAAACCAAAAAAAAAAAAAAAAAAAAAAAGTTTGTGGACACAGAAGGAAATCTAGAAGTTAACACGAAGAAAAAACCTCTGATAATAATGTAACTGACATTTTAAATCAGTAGGAAAAATTTCAATACTGTTGGAGAGGAGAAAAAAATAGCATCATGACTTTGTATCAAACTCCAAAATAAAATTCAAATGACTAAGGGTTAAAATGGGAAGCTGTCTTGGTGAGTAAAGCATTTGCCAGGCCAAGTGCTAGACTCTAAGTTCAGATTCCCAGAACTCTCATCAAAGCTGGATGCAATAATGTGTCTGTAAACCCAGCTCTCCTACAGAGACATGGGAAGTAGAGACAGTGGAGTCTGTGCAACCTCAGGGGCCGACTGCATAAAAGACCCTGCATCAAAGCAAAGTCCGACGACACACCAAGTGACCTCTGCATGAATGCTATGGCACACATGTCTCTGTCCCTCCCTCCCTCTCTGGCACGCACGTTAATGTTACAGTAACCAGTGCGGTGGCACACACCTGATACTCAGGAGGCTGGTCAGGAAGACCACTGGTGAATACCCAGAAGAAAAGTATTTCTATAATCTTTGGATTGAAAAGATTTGACTAAGACACAGAGCTGTGAAGATATATATTAAGTCACAAATGATGCCATGAAGAGAGTTAAAGGATATGTGATGAACCAGATACTTAAAATGAAAGAGAAGTGTCAATTGTAACTAGAGTGTTTTTTATGCAGCATTGTCGCAGACATGCAACTGGTCATGTTCATACACTACAGTGGAAACACACGCTTTGTAAGTCAATCGAGCACTAGCAAGTTAAAAATGGTCATACCCTCTGACCTAGTAGCTTCATTTC